AGCCTCCAGCATTCGCTCCCTTGCTTCTTATCAGGTGAAGGCCAGCAGACCATGTGCCCAGCAAGACACTACATAAGATTTTACCATATGAAGTCAGAATATCATTTTAAAAATCTCTGAAATAAAACAATAGAACCTACACCATCTCTTTCAGAACAGAGACTCTCTTTGAGTCGTAGGCAGTGCTGGGAGGGTCTTTCTATCAGCACACTTGCTCCCAAATGCCATGTCAGATGAATATGAAGAGACACTTAAAAAGAGCCAACGCAATAGTTTCATAGCATTTTTTCCTTTTACTTGAAAACTTGTTTTAATGATCAAATTTGGCAGTTACAAACCTGTACACCGTTGGGTAGTTTTTTTTTTCTTGTTTTAATTTTGGCTATAATTTTTGTGTCTTTTATCTCATTTTGTTTTTCCTTCATTTCTTTCTTTTTTTTTTTTTTTAGGAAAAAGAATACAAGGCTGGATACCTGCAACAGCAATATGTGCAGAAAACAATCCTTTTCTGTAAGGGACAAGTCAGTGAAGTATCCACTATCCACTTTGCCCTCTGCATAAGGTTTGAGTTGATGTGTGTGGGAGCTGAGGTGAGTGTGCATGTCAGTGAAGAAATGACAGATCATTCCATCTGGGGAATGGCATGAAGGTCGGGTGCTTAATAACTGGGCAAAACACATTCATCTTAAAAAAAGTCAATAGAAATACTTTTTTTTTGAAAAGAGTTAAATGAAAACAATAGAATCAAAGGAAAGACACAATACATTTCAAAATGAATAAAAACATCTTTTTAAATCTAAAGTCCTCTTTTTTGTGGGTGTACCTCAAAAGTTTGTAGAACAACAAGGTGGATGACTAAGAATTCTATTTGACCCTCCAAATTAAAGCATCCGGATAGGCATCAAATACTGTATGTATCTACAAACACCTGGAAAATTGAAACCACCTATATACAATTTTATAAACATTTTAAACACCAAAAACATACATCTTTTACAAACCAGCCTGTTTATAACAGACAAATGTACAACATGGTTTCTGGTAACAGTGCTTTGCAAAAACCCTCCCCATTCCCAGACACATCTGTCACTCCTGAAATCCAGTAGTATGGGCTCATAAAATTGTTAAATAGGAGCAATCCAGGGATTTGTTTGTTGAAGGGTGCTATGGGGTCCAATACACTCCAAATGACTACAGAATTCTCTAGTGCATCCTGAACACTGGAAGAGACTAATTATGGCCTTTGTGTATTGATACACACTTATAATTATTGCTTTTCATTATTACATAAGGAAAGAAACACTTTATTCTTTTCCTGTCTTAGCCATCTGGCTAAATATTTGCTGATGTCAAACCCACACATGGCAACTTTAAACCCCCTGTGACACACAACTGGAAGCTCAAAGAGGTGGGTCTCAATCAGCATTGTGCAGTTGGAGATTGCAAGACACAAACTAACAAGAACACACACTGCCTCCTTACGGACCACACAGAAAGATAGCACTGAGGAAATGCCCCTTGGAAGCCCCATGTCCCACAAAGCATAGGACACCCAAACCTAAGCACATGACCAGTGTCTGCATCAGTGAGAAGGCCAGACAACTGCCAGACAACCCTGGCAACACAAACACTAGATATTCCTGAATTAATTCATCTAAACGTGTTCTCATCCAAACTGGTCTTTAGTGGTTTACTCTGATTATTTTTCTCTTTTCATTTGTTTGTGTTTTGGACCTCCCAGCTTCTGCAAATCAGACACAGCCCTGTGGCTAGGGAGTCAGCAGGAAGAGGAAATATTTCCTTTTCTTCTGAGATAGTGCTTCCTTATGGCAGTCCCAGGCAAATCTGCCCAGGTCTTCCTGTGACTCCAACAGCTTAAAATTTAAGATTATGGCCTTGACCTACATATATTGCTATGACTTTCCCATTGCATTTTGTGAGTGGGCAGGGTAGGGGTACACAGAAAGCAGGTATGGCATGAGGCTCAGCAGCAAAATACTCTCCGAGGAGGGGAATAAATGAAGTATACTGTCTATCCTTTATAGCCCTGTAGTTCCTGCTCAGAGTGTGACAAAGATTGACGGCTTCTCTCACACTAACCACAACATGTGTGACACATCTCCCAACAGATACAGAGACACTCACTAATTGGCTAATTTTCCATCATGGTGGACAGAACAAGAACAGACAGTAGGCAGAGCTTATGAGAAGGAAACAACAACATTTAAACCATAAAACACACCTAGTGGGTGTGTTACACACTAGCAGTTTCACTACTAGTGATGACTATAGTCTGAATATAGTTCTGTGCTCACTCCATACCCATTCTAGAAACATTCATTTGGCAAAAGCAGCATTTTGATGCATGTCCAAATCTCTGGTCTCACCAGAGTCCCAGAGAAATGGTCTTTATTTGTTTTGTTTTCTTGCATATTTCAGTGAAGGAACAGTGGGAAGTTAGGGGCTGGATAGAAGGAAGCAGCTGCCAGCTCAGGGCAGCTTAGCGGTGTGCAATATTACAGATGAGGAGTAGTGTCTACGAGATGGGTTACAGCTTTTGTCGATGAGTTAACTTTTGCATGGGCCTGGGCAACTCTCTTCTTCTCTCTGGGCATGCTTCCTCCCTTATAAAGCATGGGGGCTATCCTAGAAAGTCTTTCAGAACCCATCTGGCTGCATTTAGATAGAACTCACTGCACTCCATCTTCTAATCTGTAAGGAAAAGCAATTTTAAAAAGAGTAGAATCCAATAGACCCAGTGCTCATCTGGAATGTCTGTAGAGCTATTTTGCTGAAATTTAGTAGGAAGGTATCCTAAAGAAAAACGTATTTTATGTAGGTCAGAGGAGAGGGTGGGCAAGAATTTTGTCAGTGACTCCACACTGCCTGCAGATAGCTCTATTTATGCCTTCATTATAGGCTTGGCCAGGCGTTCTCTCTGGAAGAGATGCTGGCTAAGCACTGGTGACTCATTGGCATGGATCTCATCTCTTATTTCCTGGGGGCAAGAAATGAATTGTTGGTTTTACTTTGATGGTTTTATGCTGTTGTGTTATTAAAAGCACAGCAGTGATTCAATTCTGGACCATTAGTTTGTCATTTTCTTTGTGATTCTTGCAAATGTGCTTCTTATATAAGAAAAATACTAAAGACTTTATTCTTGAAAGCAGCCTTAGTGAAATTCATGTATTTCAAGACCACAGTGTGGCTAATGCCTCCATGGGTGAGTCTAGCCTAGAGAATGGAAGAGAAAAAGCTGAGAAACCAGACAAGTGTATCCTCTAACTTAGGAAATTTGGGAATGAAAGGGATTGTTTTTAATGACAGATGTTTAGAAACACGAACTCCTACAGAGAATTAAGTGGACTAAAGACAATTGAGGAGATGATAGGCAGATCCCAGACAGCTCCCTTTACACACAATGTTGGTGTCATCAGGAACCATCCAGACAGAGATTTGTTCACTAGGCAGATGTGCAAATATGCATTCATTTCCCATGCTCACTGCAAAAAGGTGGCCACAGCTGATCAAAGTGAAAGAGGAAAGTTACCTCCACTGCCAACTTCAGTGGAATGAGTATTCTGTCACGGAAAAGTGATGGCCAAAGGCCATATGTTATATGAGAGGGAGACCCCGGGGTGTAATCAAATGTTACACAGTTTCAAATAGTAGTTCTGGAAAATTATAAAATACTGTCTTTAAAAATCACAGTACTTGCTTTAAGTTAATATAAATGGCAGTACTAAAATAAGGTTAACTGAATTGGAGTAAGATATGGCATTTGGTGTTCCTGTAACACTAAAGATCGGAGAAATCAGAAGGCCAGAAATGCCTGTTCACCTCGCCATTTCCAACACTGAGTCCTAAACCCTTTGGGGCAGCTTCCCTCAAGAGCAGCTGTAATGAGTGCACACTCAGAGCGATACTTAGGCCCCCTCATAAGCACACACGCTTGCACACACACACATGCACTCGCACCACATACACACAATTTAATTTATACATGGTCACTACCTACTTTTTTCTTAAAAACCTAAGAGTATTTATAATGACACCATTACCAGTTTAAAATAACACACGCAGCTTTCACCTTCGGTGTGAAGAATTGTGATTACCTAGGCTGAACCCTCCTATAGTACCACATTCCCTCTTTTCTGAATCTGTGAATTCTGTTTAGACTTTCCAATACAGCTCATTCCAGAGAGCAATACACCAGCAGGTACCTGTTCCTGCAGCAACGTTAGAACCAAGACACAGCTAGGATTATTTGCTAGAAAACACAGAACAAGATCGTCACAGTCTTTCTAATGTTTGAACATTAACTTCCACCAACCCACCCACTAGAGTCTAGATAGTCTTATTGCTCTTTCTTGGTAGCTTTCTCAGAGATCAAAAAACCCATCTATGTTATACTGGATGCTTAACATAAACAAAAACAATCTGAGCACACTAAGCATGTTACTCAAACCTAATTTTATAGCTGAAAATTAGACAGCTTGTTTAAAAAATAGAGTTGGTTTTAAAGGCTTCCATCCACCTTCTTGTTTAACATTCATGTCTCTTTTCTTTCATCTAGAACACTAACTTTTCTGATAAACACTACTATTATCACTTCCTTGGCTCAAAATCGCATGCAACGATGCCCCTCTGACGGTAGCGGGGTTTAATACTGTAAGGATCTTTGCTTTCATAGTCTCCGGGGCACAATAATGCACAAAGCCATTCGTGTTCTCCCCTTTGACTTAGTAAACTCATCTCTTCTCTTTTGCATTCCAAGCCACAAAAACAGATGCCCATAAACAAGGATTGTCAGCTCCCCCTCCCCCTGGAACAATTTCTGAGCCTCTCCTCGTCATTCTGGGAGTCAAGCTGGCTTGTGACAGTAAGACTTGTGTTGCTCATAGAAAATCCACATTTCCACAGACTTCTCTCCATCCAGCCCAAGTGCAGCTTATTCCTTCCATGTGGTAATAGTCAGAGCACAGCACCTGTGGGTGTCACTACACCTGGGTTTGGTGCTGCGTTTCCACGAAGGGAATGTGAAGGTTGGCGAGGTTGAGCTCTCCTGCGCTCTCATAGTCACTCATGGCTACCTCAGAATCGTCAAAGCCACAGCGGACTGACATGTCTGAGGATGAGGTGCCTCTGGAATTGTGCAAGGACAGAGACACGCTGTCTGCTTGGCCCATCACTTCTGTGCCCTGGTTCATGCTTACTGCGAAAGTACTAAAATCACAGTTGGAGGGTGGGCCCCCCAAATCTGTTTCATTGGGAAGAGGGTGAGGAGGGAGGTACTGGCTGGGGTGAAACTGGGGCCTTCTCCTGCAGTCTGGGCTCATGGTGCCAGCTAGTGAGGTGGGCTGGGAGGGAGGCAAGGCCTCATACTGGTCAGGGAAGTCCTCAGGCAGTGGCGGTGGCAGCTGATCCTGACTCAGGAACTCTTCTTCATGAGGTGGGGGGTATTCACTGTCAATGTCATATCCACCTAGGTAGTAGTCACTCTCCAACTCTCGTGTGCTACCCTGGTGTGCTGACCCTCCATCTTGGCTCTCATAGTTGGGCATTTCCTCGATGTCGGACAGCCGTGCTCCAGGCATCCAGTCAGAGGTGTCCCAGTGATAGGCTGTGAGAGGAAAAACACATGATTAACTGCCTCCAGGCTCGAGGTACGACAAGAATGAATGAAGAGCAGGGGTGGGTCTGCCATGCATTACTAATGCCTAGGAAACCCAAAAGCCAAGGTCATGTTCAAACTCTATATATGGGCCATTAGGGCCAGCCATGTTCTGGCCTGGAGAGAGCACAGAGAGCAGGTGCCTGGCTAGTGCAGACTTACGCTCACCAGGCCCAGAGTGATGGCCAACACAGTCATGCTGATGGAACACAGTCTTAGGATCATCAATATCTGCCCCACCCCCTATCCCCATCCACATGCTGTGCACAAGGCCAGGTTGGCAGCATGCTGGTAGAGATGCACCTGTGTATTGTGAACTGCAGAAAGCAAGGAGTTTTGCAGGTAAATGGATAAATTTCCCACACAGAGAATGAGGTCATGAAAGGAATGCACGTGGGATTGAGCGCACAAGACACCTGGAACATGCAAAACTCAGATTGGGAGACTCAGAGCGAATGGAGGGAGGGAGGGGCAAGGTAAGAGTGTGTGGAGAGGTGGAAAACACAGAAATGAGCTGTTATCCTGGGTGGTGGCAGAGTCACCTCTGTTGTAGTTCTGTCCTTGGTCCATGACAGACACTGTTCAAACACAAAGTGAAAAGTGAATCTGGCTATGCAGGTCATGTGAAGAGAGACAAAGTAGATATTTCAGAGGTCTTTAAACTACTCCTAGGGAACTAAGGCCTAACACTGATTTTAGGCATTTAAAAATCTCTACCCATCACTATTTAGGAAATTAAGACATAAATCCCATATGTATTTTGTTATAATTTTATTAGAGCACTAACAAAATTATTTGATATAAATTAATCATTATAAGATTTCCATTTCTGATGATTTTGTAAGTATCCACAGATCACAGCAGGTATTAAAAACGTACCAGAATGAATATAATATCAGCTGATTAACCTGGACTGCAAATGAATATTATTTACTTTGAAGAGATTTGTTAAAATAAGAGAACTTAAATATTTAAAAAATCTGAACTAGATTTTCTTTCAAATAAAGTTTATTGCAATCCCTTGAGATACATCTGGCATTGAATTTGAGTTTTTTTTTCTGGCTAGCTAGGCAAGTTGTCTACCACTGAACTAAATCCCCAAACTCATTATCTTATTTAAAACCATCATTTATATTGCACTTTCTATTGATCACAGTGAACCCCAGATAAAGTACCACAGAAGCAAACTTTCCAGAAGCACAGACATGCTATGAAAGGAGAAAACAAACAAACAAAAATCAAAACCAAAAATAACAGTAAATACCTTCATTCTCTATAGAGTCAACTACATTGTTGACAAGTTGAATGACAGTCACTATGGATGCTTTTGGCAGGAAAAAGAAGACAGGAGGGAGGGGAAGGACAGTTTCTGGTTAGCTACATATTTCAAACACATGTTAATAACTAGTAACAACAATAATGGAGACATTACACATAAGCTCCCACAGTCTCCCATAGTCTGTCCTTCAGGGCTGGTATCAAGAGGATGCTTATGTATAGAGGCCTGGGGATTGTTGAAACAGTAAAAAGACAGGAGGGGACATATTCCTAAAAAGCATGATTTTCAAGAATCTCTGAGTCATTTCTCCACACTCCGAGGCCTGATACATCAAACCAGGAAGATGGTGGCCAACGGAACTCATGAAGGTTTCTCATTTGCACTCCCAGAGACTCTCAGAGGAAGGCTGGAGCTGGGAATAATTACTTGTGGTCAGCGAAGTGCTCTGAATCCAGTGTCAACTGTGTAGGATATTTTGGAATTGATATGATTCTAACAGCCTTACACATGCCACTGATGGTCCAGACCAAGCTGAAGCCTATCTGTTGAGGGTGAGGCTTAGGGTATGTGAAGGAGACCACTGGTTTATTAGAGTTGCCTTAGATGCTCATGACTTCAGATGAAAGGTCCATACTTCCTGCCTAGATACAGATCATGAAGGGGTAGGTGTGTGAGTTATAGAGCTTTTGAGAGCCATCAGCCAGACTTTATGGCTGTTGCTACTGCCTGGTCTCTGAAAATATAAGTTCTCAATGTTTATCATTAAATGCAAAGTTGCTATGGTTTTACTTCTTGCTGGAGGTAAAGAAGGGAAGACACATCTAAGTAAACATACCTGGGTCAGAGGCTAGTGCCTTGGTTCTAAAATGGTCAGAAGAAATTAATACATGGTTTGTTACCCCAGCAGATAGATACACCAGTGTGTGTGTGTGTGTGTGTGTGTGTGTGTGTGTGTGTGTGGGTGTGTTTTTGTGTGCTGGTCTGTGTGTGTGTGTGTGTGTGTGTGTGTGTGTGTGTGTGTTTTTGTGTGCTCATGCATGTATGTTTGTGCATGGTATACGCGTGTATACAGGTTCATGGGTCTGTGCAATCCCACATAGAGGCCAGAGCAGAATGCCTAAGTATTTTTCACTTTCACTTGGCCTCATTGCCTGGAGGCAGGTTCTATCAGTAGACAGGGAGCTTAGAATGTTGGTTTGGTTGACCGGCCATCTCTTACACACAGTGCTTGGGATAGACGTGTGCCACAGACATGAGATTGTAGGTGCTAGGGATCCTAACTCAGATCCTTATGTACAGAACAATGCTCTTCCCAATGGAGCCATTTTCCCAGCCCCAGCACTGAAAACTCTTCAAAGGTGACTAGTGTTGGGGGAATATGTGGGATAGGTTTGGGTCATGTATGAGAAAGCAAACTACTGTAATCCTACACCTTCTTTTTGGGACACTTTCCCTGTGTTTTCCCAGAGGCTGGGGCTCTGCTATTTCCATTCTGCTTTTCTATATATAGAAAACTCAGCCTAGGACTTTGCACACAGTAGATTAGCAAAGGTTCATGTGCCAAGTGCAGATAAATGGGAAAGGCAACCTAAGGTGTTGGTTAGGGCGGGCTGCCTGCCCCTGGATGGTCATTTGAAATGATTCTTGCTTTAGCACCACTTGGCAAACATTTGCTTGTTGGACTTTTCTTCCTCTCCCTACTTATCCACTTCAGCTGGTTTCCTAGTCATAGACATGGGCTCCTTCTCCTTTAGCAAGGGTTCATAAGAGCTGGATGCACTAGATTTGGAGTTATCAAAGCAGTCTGTGAGCCACAGGAACTTGTGTTCAGCATTCTGGGCAGACAGGCATTTTTTCTAAGGATCTGTGTCATAGATTTTAATCAGTTCTCCAAAATCCCATGACCCTGACTGATTGATTAGAAGAGAAATTCAACTGAACAAAGATACCACTGGCTCTACAGAAAAGTCACCCTATCTCCAAAGTAATGTCTAAGGATGCTGTGGTTGGATGTAAAGCAGGGGCGTGAGGGGATACCAGCAGCACAGAGAGGCACCCTCATATGTGCCGTAAGTATCATCAGGATGGAGGCAATTCTGTCACCATTTTGGTCAAAGAGGGAGTTGTCATCCAAGCCCCCCCTGATACAGATCCTGCTCTGACCAGCAGCATACTGGGTCCTCTGGTGAGGACTCTCAATAATGGGTAAAAATGGTTAAAAGCCAACACACATGCCAAAGAACAATAGTAATCATATCCCCCTTCACCTCTTCTGCTGTCCCCAGCACTGGGTAGGGAATGTGCTTACCATTGTCATCACCAGAATCCGACTGGAAAGAGCTGAGGGACTGAACTTCGGAGTTACTGCCTTTGTTACTGTTCGTGAAGCAGGTCACCTCTCCGGGGTCATCAGCCCCTTTGTCTTCATGAGCAGGCAGGAGAAAGCAGAAACAGCACTCAGCCTTGTGCAATCTTTCAGTCTTGCTCTCTCCCTTCCTACCCCCTTTTCTTAGAAGCTTTCTGATTTGCTTCGAGAAAATAAGTTAGCTCCACAATGGAAAATTGATTGTGCCATAGGGGGCAAAGGTCTGTCAATCAAGTGATTTACATTATGGATTTGGAACCCTTAACCCGTGGTAAATGAGCTTCCGAATAGCTGTCAGCTGAAAGTAAGTGTTCCTGCCTCAAAGTGAGGACTATGGAGAGAGTGAAATGAGGATGGAGTAGCTGAGTTGCTCTTCATTCAGACTTAATTTATGTCATTTACATGAACCGATGTGGTGTCAACACCAGGTTAAATGAGATTACTTTTAAAACAGGGACATAAATATTTTATAGGCAAGAAAGCCGTTATATTTCTTCCAGCTTCCATCTCTGGGGATAAGTGGAATTTTCAGCTCTGCCTTCTAGAGGGCAGTGGTGTTTCATCTTGGGGTTGCCAATGTTCTCTGCTCTGTGTCTGCTAAGAGGACAGGCAGATGTGAATTTTCCCTTATTCACTTTGGGTTTTTTCTCTCTCTCTCTGCTATAGAAAAAATAGCTAGACACCCTGCACACACACACACACACACACACACACACACACACACAACACACACCTATACTTTTCTAATTTGATAGATGTAGGAAGCAACGAAGAGCACCATATCTTGAGGTAGTCAAGTCCACACTGAATTAGTTGCCCAGAAACTGTTTTCCCTAGGTCTAACTGTGCCTTGCTTAACAAAGAGGGAAACATGTTCTCTCAAATACAATGATATTTCAGGGGAAAATGTGGGTTTTGGCCTGAGGTGGATTCTGGAAATAAAGCTGTCATGTCATGAGGTGGTGATGGGAAATATTCTGCAAAAAAATACTTCAGGCCATCTCGGAATGTGAGTGTACAAGAGACACAGACCTGTGATTAAGGGAATAGGTACTTTGCTTTGTAGCCACAAATCGCCCCATAAAGAGTAACCTCAGGAGCAAACCTGAGGGCTCCCCACCTGCTTTAGATGATGAGGCCAGAGCCTTGAATTAACAACTGATACAAATGTAGTGAGATATGGGGTGGGGCAGGAATTCACCCCCCACAGCTACAACTCAAATCATGGCGATGTCTTTAGCATGCAGCAAGGTGTTCGTGGCTGAGCCCGGAGCACTGAAGAATACAAAGGTGGTCAGCTGGTCCTGGTGGCTGCAATTTGACACCCATAGCCCTTTGCTTTGCCTTTAATTTAAAACTCATTTTATTTCCAAATTAAAAAAGAGTGCTTTTTTTTTTTTTAAAAAAATTAAAGGTGTGGTAGCACACAGCTTTAATGCCAGGACATGGGAGGCAGAGGCAGGCAGATCTCTGTGAGTTCGAGGCCAGCCTGGTCTACAGAGTGAGTTCCAGGACAGGTAGTGCTATACAGTGAGATCCAGTAAACCAACCAACCAACCAACCAGCCAACGACAACCAAACAAGAGCCTCCCCACAGCACTGTTATGATCTCTGATTCCATTTAGGAGACTGGGAGATGACTTAAAATACATGTGTGTCCATAGGACAGAGCTGGAGGCTGGCATGTAAATGGCATTAGAATAGAAAGACTTCACTTTAGGTCTCCCCTCCCAGGGAGCAGAGCCCTCTCAAACTCTGTTCTGCCTCTTCTCTGCTGAGCTCCTGGAGCAGCTCTGGTAAGAGCAGACTTGGAACCTGGTGCCCAGATTCTGCCCTTTGCTTCCTTCAAACTTGTCTTTCCCAGGAGCTGATATGATGCCCATGTTGGACAAGCCCATTTAGCTGTGGCAGTCCAAGCAGATGGCAGACACCCAGCACTGGTAGCTTTACTTCTGCATTCTCATCAAATCGCAGTGTCTACCCCATATGTATTTTTTCCTTTGTCTTGGTCAGTTCCTAGTACCTCACACTATGAATTGTATGGCCATGCTTGGCTTCTGTAATAAAAGCCACTCCTCCTCCCCCTCCTCTTTCTTTTCAGGGAGCGTTTGTTTTCCATTCTGACCTCTGCCCTCAGACAGGCATCCCCCAGCTTCTTTCAGAGGTCCAGCCAGCCTATTTTGTCTTTCCCCTCAGTGAACTTGTCCTCCTGCAACATCCACTGTACAATATGCAGATGATGGTCAGCTGTCATCTCTTTGACTTCTAGACTGTGCTACCCCAACTCCCACATGCATCCTTAATACAGATCTGGCTGCTTCCTGATTCTAGCAGACCCTCTCCAATAGTTTCCTACCAATATAGACTCATGCCTAAGGATTCCTCAGTAATGCCCCTCTTGTCCAGAAGCACAGGTTACTTCCTTGTCTGAACACTCTCTGTGGGACCATTTGAAACCCACCCTGTCCTCCTCCCCCAGCGTATATTGCATAGTACAGAAGCTCAGACTTCTTCCTGGCATTAAAAACAAAACAAAACTGTGTAGCCTGCTAGTAAGTCAGGGGACAACAGTCTGTTTTAGTCTCCCTCTGATGCCAGGGCAGGGAGTAGTCACCTGTTTTGCCGACTCTGCCTCCCTTTTAAGTCTTATTCAGTGCTTTGCCCTGTCTGTCAAGAGCTGTCTTTAAAACTGTAACTAGCTCAGGCCACTCACGAGCTTAAAAATCTGCATCACTGTGGATCCTAAACCCCACCTTCTGGGCAACTCCAGCCACACTTAACCCTGCTTTGCAGCTCATTGAGCCCTTTCCCAGTCCAGGGCTTATACCCCCAGGTTTTTCTCTGGGTTAGAATCTTGCTTCAAGAAGCCAAAGGGATGCCAGGCGTTGGTGGCACATGCCTTTAATCCCAGCACTCGGATCTCTGTGGGTTTGAGGCCAGCCTGTTCTACAGAGCAAGTTCCAAAGCAATACAGAGAAACCCTGCCTTAAAAAACAAAAAACAAAAAACAAAACAAACAAACAAAAACCCCACAACCTGATCACTTCCATCACCTTGTTTCATGAGACTGCCTTTCTGCCTCCCTCCTTGCTGAGACCCAGGGGCTTTCCAAGACATCTGCCCATTATTGCATCTCACTCACTTTCAGATCCTGTGTCCCAGCCATTCTTTCGGATGGAATCGCAGTCAGAGCGGCATGGCGACACAGCTGGGAGGTTGGGGGCCACGCTGCATACCACCACACCCCGACGTGCTGTCAGGATGCGAGGGGACTCCGGGTGGAACGTGCTCATCTCCTGTGGCTCACCACCCAGTGCATCCAGGCCCTTGTCCAGATTGCTCCTGGAGTCGCTCTGGAAGCAGGGCGTGTAGGCCATGGGGCGCACTGGCACCTGCGGGGGTCCCACTTCCTGGTACACATTGCGCCCGTCGCCTCCACGCAGGCTGCGGAATGGGATGCCATTGCTCTTGTGCAGCAGCGCTGCTGTGGCTGGGTCCTGCACTAGCGTGATGTTGTTCCGTGAGTAGTTCTTTCGAAAGACCTTCTTGCGAAAGACGATGAAGAGCACGACCAGGGTGAAAATGACGAAAAGGACCACAGCAATGCCTATCAGTTCCTCTTTGCCCACGTATGAGTGGCCAGCTTGGATGTTGGGCACGACCACGGGACGCAAACCACAGTACTGGCCCACATAGCCTGGGGTGCAGTTGCAGAAGAAGGAGCCGAACAGGTTGACACAGGCACCCCCATTCTCACACTCCTCTCGCTCACACTCGTCCACGTCGTCCTCGCACCTTCAGAGACAAAGCACACAGAAGCCCTTCCAACATCAGGATCACTGTACCGGTGCTCAGACAAAAGGCCAGGCAGGCTTAAAACAGAAGAAAACCCCTAAAAAGTACATTGCCATGTGGCAGTGTGTACATGTGTGTGAGTATATGCGTATTCACATATGCATGTCCATATCTCTGTGTGTGCATTGTGTATGTACACACGGACATATACATGAAGATGAATTTAGGTATTTCTGTGTCCATAAGCCCTTGCCCATTTCCTTGCATCAAGGTGTGCCCTCTCAGGTCTTCATGGGATTTGGAGAGGGACAAGCTGATGGGAGAAGGGCATAAAGAGGAGACTAGACAATGTAAGAAAAGGCACCCTCGCCAATCCTTTGGGTCAGGTGCACCTTAGAATTTAAAACTGTGCAAGTTGAGAAACAGCATATAGTATACATTTCTCACACCATGTAAAACACTTCTGCAGCCTTTCCCTAAGGGTGCCACATAGGCCCTCATAATCAAATTCATCAGCATTTCTGTAGGGAAACATGGATGGTTGCACCAAGTGAGAGAAATGGACAAAGAGAAGCACTGGAGCAGTTCTAGGCCTCTTCTACCACTGCAGTAGTATAACTACAAAGCAGGCTTTTGAATTGATTTTTAATTTGTACGTGTGTGTGTGTGTGTGTGTGTGTGTGTGTGTGTCTCGCGCACGTGTGTGTGCACATTTGCACAAACACACACACACACAGGCTAGACGAGGGCATTGGATCCAATGGAGCTGGAATTATAGGTGCTTGCGAGTCACCTAACATGAATGCTGGGAACTGCATTCAGGCCCTGTGGAAGATCAGCAAGCAGTCTTAGCCACTGGCCTATCTCTCTGGCAAGCCTCTTAGTCTGATTCCTTCTTACTTTAACACTGAAAGCACATGACTGAACTTCTGTCCTCCGTGCTTCTCTACTTGAGTAATTGGTCTGATATGCTCACCGAGAAGGTCTCATTCACCTACAGTTTTGGTAATCCACCTTTTAAAATGTAGTCCAAATACGCTGGGGCCAGGTCAGCCAGAAATTAGAATCACAGAGTATTTAAAAATAAATGCAGCTCTATGTCTTCAAATTACACCCAGCAATTCAACATCAGCTAAGTATTTCTTGGTGGAGTCCTTAGAGATTTGCTCTAATGAACATCCAGGCTGATCTGTAATTAGACCATCACTTGTTGAGAGTGTATGTATATACTTCGAAATGATCAAGGGTGCCTGGAAGTGGCCTTTTACTCAGAATTTAAAGCATTTCCTTTCCATCTGGCTAACACTTAAATTTCACTCATTTCCTGGAGGAAAAGGGTTTTCAAAGGAAAGGCAAGGATTGATTTCTCAGAATAGTCATTAAACACTAGGTAGTATAGTCAGGTCAGTGGGTTCTGGGATATGAGTTTCATGTGTGTCTCAGAATTATACTGGAAAATTTTCATGGTGCTAAGCACATGTGAAATGTCTTCCATATTATAGAATACATAGGGGTTGAATAAGCTTGAAAATACAAAAAGAATAAAGCAAAAACATACAAATTAGATATAACCCTAGGATCCCTACTGATATTGAAGTACTTAAAAAAATGTAGTTAGTGGTGTGTGTGTGTGTGTGTGTGTGTGTGTGTGTGTGTGTGTGTGTGTGTGTGTGTATACTGTATTTTCTCATCAGTTGAGGTTGTGTGCACATGCCTGTGGAGATCAGGGGTTGATGTTAATGTCTTCCCCCATCACTTTCCCATCTTTACCTTTTGTGAGATCCCATCTCTCACTGAACCTGAAGCCCACCAGCTTGAATAGGCTGGCTGGCTAATGAGACCCAGGAAGTCCCAGCCTTAGGATTACAAGTCAATGCTGCCATGCCCAGATTTTTATGTGGTTGCTGGGGAATCTGAACTTGGGGCCTCATTCTTGCATTGCAGTCACTTTTCCTACTAAGCCAGCCCCTGTGAACACTGTATGGGAGAGACAGCAGTGTGTACATTTATTCTAATGAACTACATGCTGAGCTGTTTTCTTAGGACAAGAAGCAGTGTAGAGAAACGTCCTCAAACAGTCTCACTTACGTGACACCTGTGAGGCCAGCTTTACAGCTGCAGACAAAGGTGTTTCCTATGGGGTCGCAGGATCCTCCATTCCGGCAAGGGTTGGGGAAGCAGGCTGTGATCTCTGATTCACAGTTTCTCCCTGTGAACTGTGAGAGGCAGGAACACTGATAACCTGGGGGAAAGAGAGGGTCTCATGAGCTGAGGATGCCACAGCCATGTGCCGAGTCCTTGGACTCATCTGTGACAAGTATTCTCAACTCCTCGTCTTGAGCAAAGCCTGGATTGCAAAGTTGGTCAGTACATTGGCTCTGTGGAATTCATTTGCCATAAAAACACCAGGGCACAGTTTGGATATCATGTTGTCTACAAAAAATTCACCTAATTGTACACATTTCAAAGAACGTTAATGATATTGTAAGAGACACTAAGAACAGAGACCAGGATGGGGAGTGAGGTGACAGTCCTTTCTGTACTGCCGTCTGCAAATGGTGACAGCTCAAGATGGGAGAAGCCACTGGTGCCTGGCTCCTTCCTGCCCTGAGCTCCAAGTGAGGCCTATTCAACTCAACTGAAACTCAAGCCCTAACCCTTCACCTCACCTATGCAGATGCTCATCTTTGCATCTCTTTCATGTTCTGTTCATGAACCTGTCATGCAAAAAATAGGCACTGATGTTTGTATTATTGACAACATTAACTATCAGAGGACCGAAGATCCTCAGAGTATTACATGTGTCTCCTGGTGGAAAGGGAACATTACGATGTTTTTTTCTTAAAGAAATTGTTGTTGCCCTTCTAGTTAGACTTATTAAATAGTAAATCATTAGTTCTTCCCTGTCAATCACAGTATTTCTCTGCCTTAGAAACAACCCAGGCATTCCTTTTAGTATTTTCATATTTTCTTCTGTGGCATATTGATACTTTGTGATTCTAACATAATTGTTTTCTGTTGGATTTCCATTATATCTTTTATTTCAAAACATCAATCTCACCACACATGGACAGTCTTCTGATGGCCTTCCTCTAAATATATTATAATCTTTTAATGTTAATTATATGAACAATATTTGTATTATTGTCATTAACTGTAATATGCTATTTGTAGCTAAGCTACTTTGTGAATTATGACTTTTATTTTCATGCATATCTTTGTTTTGAAAAAACTATCAAAGATGGCCCTGGGTTTCAGATTGCTCTTTTTCTGAGTATCTATTTAAAATGACCTCCAGACTGTTCACCAAGTAGGTCTCCCTATTTGAGCTGCACGTGGTGGCTTATATTTCCACACACTAAAGAGGTTCTGAGAGCTCCACCTTGAACAGCTGACCTCCTATGCAGCTCCTTTGTATACCTGTGTTAAAACTCTGTTTCTGGATCACTTGGTTTATTCCATCTTTCATTTGACGATTCTGTAATTGCTTCCCAGGGGAAGGGTTGTAGGAGGCAAATTTCATGAGAATTTGTATAGTTAAATCCTTAAACTTCATTGAAAGTGAGATTACATTAGGAAATTGAAGTAATCTTCTGCCTGTTGTTTTTGGGAAATCCAAAGTTTCTGAAGCTTATCAAGCCTGATTTTTTTTTTGTCTCTAATAAGTTGGAGGGTCATAGTTTTGGAATCTCATCACATTTATCTATTCTATGATTTAGCATGGGCTTGCTCTAGCCAGTGCTGGGTCCCCAGTAAGCACCTGTAATCTTAAACTCTTATCTTTTAATTTTGGTGAATTTTCTTGCATCATTTTGTTGGTGATTTCCTTTGTTTTCTCTGTTGTCTTCCTGGAAGTTTTCTTATTTGCATCTGAGATTTAGACCTTCCTGGAACTCTCTTATCTTGTTGGTGCTCTTATATTCTAACTTCTTGATTGATTTCTGAGTGAACAGTTTCTTATTTTGAATTGTTTTTGAGACTAACCGACACAGTCATCTTCCAAAAAACATGTTTTTAAGTCACTGAAGTCCCCTCCCTTCTACTGACTTTTCTTTTGGCTAATGTACAAGTTTAGCCCCAGATTTCTGTATACGGTTATTATAGCATCTTATCTCTCCAAGGATTGTAATAATGATTCACGGTGTCTTTATGCCTAGTTTCTCCTGGTTTTGTGATTTCCACAACAAGCTACTTTGTGTTTCAGGCCAGCTAGGTTACTGTGCTCTGCTATTCAAACACTGGCCTAGATGTTTAGGTGTCTGTGGATTTATTAACTTTAAAATCAGTCAGAACTCTCCATAATGTGTGTGGGCCCAAGAAGAATTTTTGCCTCAAAATCAACACCAAAGAATTTTTGCCAATTTCTAGCCAACTGGCTTGCTCTATGGATTATAATTTCTGTGCTGTAAAACCGGCTCTTAGATGGATTTCCAGCCATTAGCCTACCCTACAAATTTTAGATTTGCTAGCCCCAAATCACATTAGAGAATTCCATAAGATCAAATCTCTTTCTTTCCCTTTCTGTATATGTGTGTGAATATGCTTGTGTGTGTGTGTGTGTGTGTGTGTGTGTGTAAGAGAGAGAGAGAGAGAGAGCAAGAGAGTGAGAGTGAGTGAGCGAGTAAGAGAGAGAGACACACACACAGAGAGGCAGAGAGCATGATAGATTTCTTCCTCTTGATTCTGCTTCTCTGGAGTACTCTAACAATTATCTTACAAATTACAGAAATCCCTTCATGGTCTTCTACAGGACATTTACTTGATACAGCAGTCAGCTTGACTGACTTCCTACCTCCAAAGACTGAATAGCTATATGGTAGGTGGAGGTGTGTCCATGCTGGTTCTCAATGGTTAGGGTTTGGCAGGCTAGTTACACCACCCCTGGGAGAACAATTAGAAACAGGCTAATCACAGACATCAGGGAGAACTGTAATCCAGGGCCTTCTCTTCAGTAGGGAGTGTTACCAGCACATACATAAAAAAGAAACTATGGAAAGCACTGGGATACAAGTTCAGAAAAGATGTGTATATCTCCAGAAACCTAGTCCTAGAGAAGCCAGTACTTAGTCATGCTCACAAAGCTGGATGGACTTAAACGCAGGCCTGCTAGTATTGTCCTGACCTGTTTCTAATACTACATGTTACTGACACAACAGCTACAACTCACTGAGCATTTCTTAGTCATAAGCAGACTGTTCAAGATCTGCATTGTGATTTCAGACCCACATGATGAAGGATCAGAGGGCCCTAGGAACAAATCTACTTTTCAATGTTTAATTTTGAGGAAGTTTGGGATACTCCATGAGAGAGGAAACAATGGGTTAAATACTCAAATTACATTTTTAATAAATAATGACATCTATTATTCATCTTCTCTGAAAGGCTTGATTATCAAAATTAACCTGTTACTACCAAGGATTTATTATCTCATTATTCCACCACAGAACCTTTTATTAACATTTTTTATATCAGTAAGTCTGCCATAATAATCCCAAGTGATCTAGTGATTCAAACATTACTTCCAGTCACTCAGCAGAGGATCACAATGATCCTTGGAGGGGGCAGGGGAGTGGTCCACTAGCATTCCCCTGAGGGACACTGGAGAGGTCATGAGGCTGTTCAAAGACATAGATAGGCCTAGTAAGTGATTTGAGTCTGAGCTTGAATCCAGGCTTCCCAAGTCCCAGAACTTTCTATAATACTGTATAGAGTCTAGAAATTATTAGGTGAGACTAATGGCTTGCCAAGAGTAAGAGGGTAAGAGGGAGTAGCTTGGGATAATTTCATATCGTTTTCCTGGGGGCAAAGAGAAATAGTAAGACAGACAGGAACAGACATTCCTTCTGGGAGCCAAATAGTCACTAAATGAACAAAGTCCTGTATGTTTCAGTTCTTTCCAAGAGTTCCCTATTTCTATAACACACACACACACACACACACACACACACACACACACACACACACAAATTCCTAGAGATATCTAGAAAGCATCTAATGATCACAAATATTATTTAACATTGTCACAAATATAAAAGAAAAAAATCATTAATTTTTCAAAGTCTGAATAATAATTGATTTGCTGTAGTGGAGAGAGAAGTTACAAAATCACTAGCCAGAATAATAGCTTTTCATATGACTAGGAAAAATTCTAAGTGCTTTCTATAACTTATATTTCATTTACTTCTTATAACAACTGCATGCATTATATTCTTTAAATAGTAGTTATTATCTTGGCTACTTTACAAATGAGAAACAGGCACATAGGTAAGATGGTTCTTTCATGGTTATCAAAGCCAGCGAGCAGATGGGCTGTGCGCACTTCTCAGCTTGTAAAGGAAATGGCCCTACGAGCATTGAGATATGTGTACAAAAAAACCCACAGCTTCTTTCCCTTCAAATCTTGGCGACATGGGAAGTATATTTTTAAGCCTTGCCTCCAAATCTGTGTTCCTGTTTACACTCCTACTTATAGCCTATGCAGATGGTTTTGAAACCTGTACCCAGACAAACTTAAAGTGCTTCTCCTCCCCTTACTCAAAGAACATCACAAAACCTATTAAATGCAAAAATAGAACTGGAACAAGCAATTATAGAGCAAATTTGGGTGGTGAAGGCAAATAGTCAAGATACTTCCTGTCTTATTCCCTTGCTTTATTGTTTTTCAACCCAGTTCACCCAGGCAATGGCCTCAACCTTCTGCTCTGCTCATGAGGGCAGAGGAACATCATTCTTTGGGTCCACAGTCTTGATGAGAAAACAACGCCCACAGCACAGAGGTGTGTACTGACAACACACACACACACACACACACACACACACACACACACACACACACACACACACAGTACCCAGACCTAAAGTTTCATCTATTGCCATGCTGGCTGAATTATGGAATGACCATGACTTGGGAAACTACATGGATGTGGTGAGGACCTGGGTTCAAGGCTGAGTCCTGGCTGTTACCCATCATCTGCATGTGTCCAAGATGCTTGACTTCTGAGAATTCCCTTGCTTTTTCTGAACAATCATATTCATGGATGCTCTGCCAGAGAAAACATGGGTCTACATCCCAGAAGTCAATGCAGTATGCAGGTACTAGGTGCTTTAGTGTTGTATTGTAATTACTGCAGGCTTCAAAGTCAATCTCATCTCCTTGTTGCTTATTAACCCAATAACTTCAGGCAAAGGAGATAGCTCTGTCAATCAAATGTTTTCTCAAAAACATGAGGACTTGAGTCCAAT